TGTGTGTGTGTGTGTGTGTGCGTTACCTTTTTCTCTTTCTCCGTCTGCGTCACTCGTCTTCTGGCTCGTCTCTCGTCTGCAGAGACAGCAAGAATGTCTAACCACTTCCTGTTTCTGTTCTGTTCCCTACACAAGTTACACAAACTAGACAAACCTGATGCATCGTATTCCCCTCAGGATTTTCACAGTAGCTTTATAGTGTCAAGTTTCTCTTTGACAAACTTCAGGTGCAGTGATGTTTTTACAAAAAGAGTTTTCCTGCCATGGAGTCTGTGATATACATGGTGAACACACACATTAACCAGCTCCACTGATTGTTGCTGTGCTTTGTAACCTCACTGAACACTTAGAGCTGGGGATCACTTCTGAGTAGAGAACAGTTTGTGGACTGATGGAAATCTGAGCTCTTTGGAGACTTTATAACCATTAGCAGCTATTAGGGTTGGGCAATATGCTAAAATATTACAATCGGCCAGCGTCAGCCCAACAACCATTGTTTTAGATTATATATCCGCACAGTTGTGTGTGTGAGCATGTGCAATTATAGAAAAGCTCTTTGCAAAGAATATAAACTCACCTATTCCGGATTATTTTGGTTTAAATTACACAAAACCAGCAAGATTATGACCTAAGTGTCATGATTTGTCATTTTTGCAAAAGTGTAGTTCTGCAAAATGATCTGAATATGACGAATCTGCATGAGCATTTGTGAAAACATCATCCACCTGAGCACGATGTTCAGTTACTTGTATAATATATAGAATAACTTCAAGACCCTCTTCAGACCTGATCACAAGTGGGAGGCTTCAAGTTCACCTGTTCACAACTGGAATTAAAATGCATCCTGAATGTGTTTCATCTGATCACTTGTGATAAGACGTCCCCGCTCTATATGCAAATAATCACGTATGTCATTTAAATTGCAAGCGGAGTCAGGAGTGGGGGTTGAATGAATATATAAGCAGTTATTATAATAAGCACCAGTTCCTAGATAAATTGAATGAATGAATTCTCGAGGAGGCACCCTGTTATATGAACACATACTTTTCACAACCTATTGTGAATGTTGCAGTGATACACTGATTTGTTTGTTATTGGTTAAAATAAATTCTGTAACTTCAATGACGATTGGACCACATGTTAAACAAACTTAAACCTGAATGTCGGACATTCCAAAGGGTGTACTGACCTCAGTCTTGGTTTAAAATCAGCAGCAGTGGTGTTGGAGCGATGGATGCAGCCCGCCCTGCAGAAAACAAACCAGTGACGCATGATGACCAACAGGAAGCACAGGGAGAAATCATTCACTGATACCAAATATAAAACAGAAGAGTGTATCATTGCCCAGAAGCTGCGGCTTTTGAATCACCTTGTTCCAGATAACATCTCCACTGCACAAGCTGACATTTGCTGTTGTCAGTAGACCACAGATTGTTAAATGAAGATTATATATAAAGATGGACAACACGTCGCTTCTTCCTCACTGTACAAACATAAAGCTAAAATATCTCAGATACACGTTTTTACATTGATGTAATCTCACTCCTCTCGCTCTGGCTTGGTCTCCTCCACCTCTCATCTTTCTCCTCAGCTCCAGTACGGTGTTATCATCTGTGACTGTCCGTCTGCTCTCTGGTGTTCGGCGGGTAGTTAAACTGAGTTAGTGAAAGCAGTGAAACACCTTTTACACAGCTTCCTCTGGCTTATTACTTGTGTCTGCCCCTCTTTGGTTATTTCCTGGAACCAAACCAAACGTGTTTGATGTGAGTTAAGTCTGTGTTTGTGATGATTAGGCAGCTTGGTGTAAAGCTCCTTTTAACACCAAACTGAGTTTTCCTTAAAACCCTGCTCAGACTCTCCTCTGGGCTCAGCAGCATGACTTTTTTTTAAAGACTGTATTTAAATCAGTGGACATGGCGACAGGTCAGGATCTGTAATGAGTTTCTTCCTGTTTTTCTAAACTTCGATTCATCTGGAATAATGCAGCTGTTCACGGAATGAGTCATGAACTCCTTCAAACTCAAACTATGAGTTTGTTTTTTTGTTCAGGACAAAATGATCCAATGATTGTTGTTCATCTTTGTATGTGAGCGAAAACAAAAAGCAGCAGCAGACGAAGCTCAACCTGAACTAATCACTTACCTGCAATTATCTTGACATCAGTCCCACACCCAACTCCACCACTTAATATAAAACCAGGGCTGGGACATAATTAAACTGTGCTTTTTATTTCAGTCATTTTAGTAAATAATATTCACTTGTTTTTATTTCTGCTCACAGCCCAACACTTCTCCCACTGTACACACAGCTGAGTCCCTCAATAACGTAGATTGGTTAACCGACTGAATCATATATTGCAACTATCCAAACCACCATTGAGTGTTTGTTTATAGATATTAGGGCTGTTTAATTTTCATTTGCTATCTGGATGAATGAATTATTGTGGGTACTGTACTTTACATTCATGCGGAGGAGGAGAACCACATTTTCAAATTCATTTACAGCAGACCCACTGATACTCCAGTAGTTGCTGCACCAACATACTTCAGCTTCCTGTAACGTCTGCCATTGACAACTTATTTGGAGTGATTTTTTTGGTCACCAAAATTGCTGAAACAAAGCTCATTCATATTCATCTTTGAAAATACGGTCCTCGATTTAACTTTGATGAGTGGGAAGAAATTGAGAAATCACTTTTGAAGGACTTATCAGAGAGCTGGTGGTGGGTGTCTTTTTCTGTGCTTGTCTTATTTCACTATACAACCAGCAGCTTGGACACATAAGACAACACATAAAAGACTAACCTGGTGAGTTTGCTGGCCACGGGCGCCGTGTTGAGCGTGAAAGCTTCGGCTGCAGAGCTGTCGCTGTTCACCCGCTGTCTCTGAGAACAACTGCAGCAGAACACAGAGGAAACAGTCAGCGAGGTGAGCTCACAGCCTGGACTCAATGTTTCCTACATGGAGTTCAGATGTTCACTGAGGCCTTCAGCCCGTAGACAGCTCGGGGACTGTTCTGTACAGAGGATGTGATCCATGTGGCCGGTTTAAAGGTTTATTCTGCTCATTTGCAGCTTTGTATTTTTATTCTGGGATTCCACCGCAGCATGATTCACAGTTCAAAAAGGTGCTTATTCATTCCAAAGTGCCGGTCATGCTGCCCCTCGGTTTAGCTTATGACTGAAATAGGTGATATTAGCTCAGGCCTGCACCACCTCATCCCCTTGACAGTCTGGGGGTTCTAAAAGCAAACTGTAAAAACATGGCCCTGTTCAGACCTGGTATTAATATCTGTCCTGAGAGATCTGATCATAAGTGGTCAGCACTAAGTACTTGCGTTAACACCGTGTGTTAAATTTGTTTTCTGAAGTGTCCCATGTGAGCACTTGTGATCGGATCCCACTTCCCTACTCTAGATGCAAATAATCTCGAAGGTCATTATGTGACCGATGCTATGTCATTGCATACCAACCCTTATGTGGTTTAATGGATCAACGTATGGAGAAGGTAAAGACACGCTTGATTCATTATTAAAAGACGTCAGCTGAGTAGACCTGTCCTTCAAATGTGGCCCAGGACGAATTTACGTTCACACACCAAACAGAATGTGGCCACAAACGTCCAAGACGACCTCCGACTGGGTCTATGTAACTAATAACTAAATCTAAGTGACCTAACTCAACTGATTAGATCCATCTGTACATGTTCAAACCTTAATCAGAATATGAGAGTGGACAGTACGATCTTCAGATTACATTCTTACTGTCTAATATATAAAATGTTTTCTATAAATCGCTAAAAAAAAATTGTATTTTAAGTTATACATAAGAAAAGAAACAAGGAAAGGTATTCAAATCAATGTTATTCTTTTAAGACTTTCAATAGGGGAGAATTTCAATTTGCTATGGTTAATCACATATGCCGTGTATCAGATATTGCAGACGAAATGTTGACCAAAAACCTTAAAATGACCATCAGTGAGGTAGATTTGAGATAAAGAGCTGAATGCTGCCATAACGAGCCTGAGTGAGATAAAGGCAGTAAGAGACAAAAGGAGAAAGAAGAGAAAGGCTTTTCTAAAGGGCTGAGCTGAGGGAAACAGAAATATATGAAATTCTCTCTGAATTGTCCGTATATGAGAAAAGCAAGAAAGGAATAAGAGCCTTTGGAGAATTCCCCAAACTGCAACACAAATAAGGTAGGATGTAAATGTTACAGTCTGAGCGAGGTGCAACAGGTGTTTAAGAGCTTTAGACCCAGAACAGCTCAATACCCTGATGGTTGATGAGTCTTTAAGATTCCACTGACCACCACTCTCTAACGACCGGGGTCCATGTTTACCTGGAAATAAACCTGTTATGGTAACGACAGTATTAAATGTAACTGATATATGCTCATTTGTGTAGGGGCTCCAAACAAAACTGACCAAGGACTTCGATCTATAATCATTTAAAACGCAGACATCCAGAGACACCACCAGTTAAAACTATACAACTATAACTGCAAACTTTGCCTTAGTCAGCCCTGAGATAAGCTGAAGTCCAAACAATCTCCAAACATTCTCAGGAAGGGCTGTATATGAGAACACAAATGTCCGAGCAAGAGGCAGGAGAGCTTCCGCAGGATTCGCCCCAAGCGAGTGGATGCATAGATGATTCTTCTGACAATCACTTCGGGATGAAAAAGCAGTGCCACACATAGAGGGCACCAATGTAGAGGTCAAGAGAGCTTTGGGTGATAAGGGAGGATGCCAGTGTTGATGTGCTGTGAACTAAAACATGATCTCCCCACTAGAATGAAGAAGTTACATCTGCGGAAAGTCGACTATTTGTTATTAAGCTTAACAAACTCGAGTATATTGAAAAACACACAGGGAAGTTATTCCTCACTTGTGTAAAACCTCCCACAATTAGTCAGAGTCGGGTTTCTTTCCTGAAATAACTGATAGAAATTCTCCGTCCTGTGGAGATCCAGACTCTCGCCTGGTCAGATGTTCACCTGACGCTAAAGTGCAAACTGACAGCATGTGAGGCTAAACTCAGTGTTTTTTTAAAAAACAAAATGTTTTGTGTGTGGGTGGCGTTCAGTGTGTTTGACAGAGAGTCAGAGAGAAGCAGAAGAGAGAGAGGTAATTACAGTGGGAGGAATATCGTTCACCTCTGGCCCTGTGTGGGCACACTGCTACACTGTTTGAGTGTGTGTGTATGTGTGTGTGTGTACAGTAGATTGGTGTGACTCTGGAGTGCTCTGACATGTGTATCTCTCTCTCTCCATCCACTGTTTTTCTGACTCTTTCTCCCAATCCCATCTCTCCCTCACTCTGCCCCTGCCTCTCGGCCTCATCTCTCCTCCTCGTCCTCCCACTCAGTGCACTCAGCATTGCAAATCAGCCCGCCAACACACACGCACATATGCACACAGTCACACACACACATAGCCAAAGGGAAGTGTTGTTGGGATCAGAAGGTTGTGTTGTTCTGCCTGTACTCACATTGTACCTGTTTATTTATTCCCTCTTTGTATTCTGAAGACTAATCTTCCACCACAACCTTATAACCAGTTTCATTTTATTTATATTTAAGAAATATGATGATTCTGAAGTGTCCGTTTCACCGCAGTGTTGTTTCCAGAGACGATGTTCAACTTGAGGTGACAGCAAAAGTAAATAACAGATCCAGGCTCTGAAACAAACACGTAGCTTGGGTTAATTAAATAAAGCTACGCACCCACGCCTGTTTACACTAATAACCACCATTAATTATTGAAATGGTGGCAAAGAGCACTGTTGCTAATGTGTGAACTCGTTACATTATGTGATCAGGAAGAGGGGGAGCCACATTATCATGTTTAACAGAACAGTTCTCTCTGGAGGTTTGATCATTGGTCATGTTTTAATGTACAGTGATCACCTATTCAAAACAATCTACAGTTGATATCATGAGCAGACGGCACCCACCCACCCACCCACGGCTGAAGCATGTAAACTCACTTCACTGTAAATTCAAAGTGATTGTTCTCATAATTGCTTCGCTTGTGCTTTTTCCTTCTCCTCCCACACACACAGTGCACGTGAACATTTTCACAGCGTCACTGTTCAGCTGGCGTGAATTAGGTTCAATCTTCTTAAGGAAGTATTGTGACGACGAACCCGGTCAATGACGAGGTTCAGTCCATTCAGAGAACGCTCCTGTGATCCGTGTGGAGACGCAAAAACTTTTTGATAAACATCATGACGGTTGAACAGATCAGCCTGAGAAGAGGAGCAGGTCCTTTAAACACATACTGCACACTTTAATGTGTTTTTTGAGCTGTAAACTAAGTTATATGATGTTTTTTATCTACGACTTGAAGGTTTTTGACACCAATATAGATATATAGAGGATATAGTACAAAAATGTATTTATATAGACTTAACTGCTCCTAGTGTTTTTCCTCTTCTTATTTGTGTTTGAGCATTTGTTCAAATCTACAGTGAACAGCCATTACAGAAATATATATTTGTATTTGTTAAGATTTCTGTCTTAAGTAGGAGTGAGACTGAGTAACATGCAGACATACAGTCAATCATCAAGCTACGCAAACATGGTTGGTTTGGGTCTTGTTATGAGACAGAATGAGAGGGGGTGAGAGGGAGAGAGAAATAGAGAGAGAGAGAACATGATCTAACAGCTGCTGCTCTAACAGGTTCCTGTAGGTGAGAATTTAATCTGTGTGAGAGTGTGTGTAAATATGGTTAAAAGGATTTAATATGGAGGCAGGGGATCGAAATGTGTTATACACACACACACACACACACACACACACACACACACACACACAACACACACAACACACACATTATAGTAACACTTTGTGGTTCTGGAGCAAAAAAGATGAATATTACATTAATATTAAATATTATTATGTATTTCTACATTTATTTACATACACCCACACATAAACATACGGTACACACACACAAAATGATGCAGTTCTACTTCATGCAGGCTTTCACCTCTAACAGGCTCAATAACCAAAACACTACAATTTGCATGCACAAGCTTGACCAATGAGAGTGAGCGCACCCATCCCACACTACCAGCCTTAGAGATGATGTCATAATGCAACTACACACACACAAACACACGTTGGCAGTGTACAGAATGCGTGTGTTTTACCTGGGAACAGAGGATGAAGATGAAGGAAAGGAAGAAGGAACAGAGTCAGAGTTCTTATTAGAGGGGCCTTCCTGAAATATATCACCAGAAAGACTGAAAGCTGAGTAGAGAATATTCTGTCTGCAGGTAACACTAAAACCATCACTATCACCAGAGCACAGATCTGATTGCTGTTCAACAACACACCGATATCCTGTCCACCATTGGTAAAAAACTGTTGTTGTCCATGCTAACTATGACTCATGAAGCTCCAGTTTGGGACGCAACACTAACCTGTGTCACAGTGTGGATGCATTTTCACACAAATTCGATTTTGCACACAATAAGGCAGGGACGGGGTCAGAGGAAACAAAGATTGGCTCATTAAAATGGAAAAGTAAAGGTCAAAGATTGACAGTGATGTAAAAGTCCTATTAAGTCTGATTACAATGCTGCTTCTCTTTCCTGCCTGCTGTTTCCACTCAGGCTCCGAGTCAATATGATTGGTTCATGGTGAAATGAAAATGTGTTCGACGCTATCTTTGCACTGAGCAGCAGAATAAAGACAGAATCAGAATTAACAAGCTCTGTAATCCTCATCAGCTGGTATGATGTTATCTACAGGCCTTTCCTTTTCTCTGATGAGTCTGTTTACAAAGACTTTCTGAAGGCAAATATCTGTTCCATCTGCAGTCTCAACACAACACAAGTGATGACACACACTATCAAAACCGCAATCACATGCAGCAGATCTGCTGGGTACATTTTCCACGGATGTTGCTTAATATCCACAAAAGCCTCCTGTGGACATCAAGCCTGTTGTTTCTACTGCTGATCAACAGGCGTGTCGGACACTGATTCATTAAAATCTTCCACAGACGCCTCCCTCAGGACCGTCCATCCCTGCTGGTCCTCCCACGCTGTCTCCACCACCTGAAGCCCCCACATTTAAAATATGGATGGACAGTAAACAACACTGAATGGGATTTTTCTCTTATTTTTGGAAATAAGAGCTTGGTTTTTCCAGTTGTACAGCAGGACACATTCAGATTTCGAATTGATTTCACTCAAAACTCACATTCAAATGCCTTTGTTCAAACTGCGCGTACACTTAGACATTTTGTTGCTTGGACAGATTCCCTGCGCTCCAGCTTCAGCTCTCTCACGCTCACTCTGCTTCTATGCACACTTGGAATGTTGCTCTCAGATTTCTACTTTGCAAACAGTTTGACCACCAGCCACACCATGTGTTCTGTCTGATCCTATCCCTAACCAGGTTGCAGGTGGGCCATGCTCACCAAAATACCAAAGTGGATTTAGCAGTAGACTGCGATCTGTGCTGCGCCACAGGGTTCATGAAAATAGGGCCCTCAGTGAGACTCTTCTTCTGTGATGTGCCCCCGTTTTTCAAAACGTCATCCGAATATCTCTGTAGATGTTAGACAACGGCTGAGCTATTTTCCCACCATCTACTCCGTTTGTCTTATTTTGGAAATATTTATAGATGGTAGCGTAGTCAGCAGCACTTTCCTGCAGGTATCCATAAACACATTTGCAGACTGTGTAAATATGTGATTTCCTGTTTCCTCCCTTACATTAGGATTGTGTCTCTGTAGAGAAGAGATTCTGGAAACTGAATTCTCTCTGTAAAATCACAGCTGACCTTGACTCCAGGTAGACAGTGGCTGCGAAAATGTTCTATATGATACGATAATGTTTGATAGCTATTTTAGGGTCAGGGTTCAACCAGTGGTGAGGCTGACTGTCAGTGTGGGGGCAGCTGACTCACCCACTGTTCACCAGGCTGGAGTCAGGGGTCGCTACGTCAAGACTGGCTGAGGGGGAGGTGCCTACGGTCACGGTAACGATGAGCTCAGGGTCCAGGATGAAGAGCTCTTCCTGGGAGATTTCGGTTACATAGTTAAGATGTTCCTGATAAAGGAAGACAAACAGTGTTATCAGCATTGTGCTTTGAAAGAGATTTACTGACATATTATGCATCATTAGACATTATTCCTTTTTTTGATATTTTTAAAGCATAATCAATCACAGAAACATCTGCAACTGAAGCAAACGTAACTTCTAAACTGATTTTGTGTGATTTTGTTCAATATTTTCTTGTTTTATTGGCTATATTATATAAAATACTATATTTTGTTTCAATATGAATCAAATCCTGAGTTTATACACATAATACATTTTATGTTTGTGGATGATCTAATCAAATCAAATGGTTCAATAGTCACGCTGGGACAAAAATCATTTAAAAAGATTAAAACACTATCTATCTTCCTCTTCTACACCAGAAGTAGGAGGTTTTCACAGGTTTAGAAAAACGTGCTTTTAATTAATTTCTCATTGCCAGTGGAGAGTTTCACTTTCATGTTTAACATAACAGCTGCAAACTGTCAAGTTTCCTCACTTCACTGTCTTGCAAAAGTGTTGCATTTTGCATGATATAAAGAAAATAAATTGTTGATGCATGATGTTCCAAAGCAGTAAAAAAAACAATGAGAATAACATTATATAACTTAAATGTTCATGGCTGTTCAGGAACATCCAAAAGGTCAATGTGCGTCATAACACCATGCAGAGAAAGTACAGCGTTGTGTCCAATGCCAGAATAAAGAAGATCCAGAGATGATAAAAACCTGTCTATTGCTGATAGAATCCTGATTGTATCAATTCCCATTGCAGACAAAAGCCAGATGTTAGTGGGTTTATTGGGTTTTTTGACCAGAGGAAGTGGGGCTTTACACACCTCAGTCGCACTGTATGATTATGTAACTTAAAAATAGAGAGAGATGTACCTGTGCTCTGTCGATCCTGTAGAAACGATCTGCTGTCGTAGCTGAGGAGACAAACATACACACAGTTAACCACAGAACATAGGAGAAGACTTCCAGAGTTCAGCTTCCAAAATAAGAGATCTCATCTCATATCATACATTTGTTATCCTTTTTTCTGCTTGACAATCTAAAGATCCCTGCTGTGATGTAGAGCATGTCTGTCCTCTGGTACAACAAATGTGAGCCAACATGTCACGGATCATCTGCGGCTGCAACAGCTGGTGAGATAACGCCTAACTCCTTTACATGCACTCATGCTTCTCTTCACAGCAGCTCTGCCATTCTCACAAATACACATTTTGGAAGTGTGATTACTCTGAAATGTTATGATCTGTTATGAGAATACTAAATACACTGTCTGTGCTTTATGCATGCTTGTTAAGCAATACATCCAATAGAGGACAGTGCTTCTCCCTTTTTGCAAACTTTGAGCTATTGTTTCTTTTTAGTCTCAACTTCTCTGCAAAATTCCACCAGGACTCTACGACTGTGTGTTATTTTTTTTCCTGTGTGATATTTTTAGTAAGCTGATATTAATATTCATGACTGTCACCAACAAAGAGGAGCTGATGAAACTGTGCTTTTGTTATTTTGAGGGAGAACCACAAACAACAGAAATCTGTTTAATGACACCTGAACCACCTTCGTAGTCCTGGCCATCACTGCTATTGGTCATAATAACACTGCTTCAATCTGAAGTTCTGCTTTACAGAGGTTTTAAACACATCATATTTAACTAATAAATAAAACTACAATGGATCCTTTGAGTTCTGCTCAGACTTGATTTAATGTTTTGTGTGTGCCAGACAGAGACTGTGTGTATCTGTATCTGCTGGTCTGATCTAGTGGTAACCAGACTGAGAAGGTGAGGCCACAGAGAATTAATGATCTGTGTGGGTTGTCACTCTGCCCTTTCCTCATCTCAGCTACTGATTTAATGAACCTCATCACAGTCTGCAATGTAAACAATGGAGTTTTCTCTCAGAGGATGAAGGAAGCCTATATGAATACATTTTAATGACAAAAACATTTGCATGTCTTCTACTGACGTCTGCCACTCTGCAACTTATATCATCTTTCTTCTTTAGCTGGTGTAGAGAGTAAAATAGCCCCCCTCAGCCACTGCCTGCATGATGCCTCACAATGTGTCTACAGGTCGGAGAAATGCTACCATTGACACTTCAGATGTGTAGTTGTTCTTATTTTCCTATTTTTTACTCCACTTGGAGGAGTGCATGCAGAGTTGGTGCCCTGTCATCGTAGTGGCCACACATTCCCACTTTGAAGCAATTATCTGGGGTATAGAGATGTAATATGAAGCACAAAAAAGAATTTAACTTCTGCTCACCAGAATATGATTCCTTCTGGATCTAAAATCTTTTTTTAATTCTTGAGAAACTATAAAATCCCTTCGAAAAGAACACGACCAATGACAGCCTTACAGTTGACCCTTAAACGATTTCATCCAAGTCTGTGTGGCTCTTTCTTCATGAAAGCATGAAAGTTTCCAAAATCTGGAATCCAAAGTGAGAACTATCGAGTGTCATTGTCGTGTACAAAAAAAGGTAAATAGGTGAAAGAAAATGAAATCGTTGAAATTATCTTTTCTGTTCTGATAGTTCGTCACACTGAAATAAAGATAATATAATTTGTTTTGCTCATTATTAGTGTTCAATGGAAATATATCATTTTGATATAATAAGCTGTGATCAGTGATTTTAGCAGGAGACCAGACAGGAAGCCCTAACTACCAGCACAGACCATTGTTTTATCTTTACCAAGCGGATTTAATTACTTTATTATTTTAGCTTGAGCAGACAGTGATCATGTGGGGACGGATCAATGCTCTATCAGGATTTAGGACAAATGGTGTCCTCTGTCATTTCAGTGTGATGCAGTTGTTGCTATGGAGACTTAATTCTCTGTCAAATGGGATGGATAATGGATTTGCTCTGCTTTCAATTAATTGTTTTTACCCGTTTCCTCATATTATCATAAGTTTACATGTGAGTGTATTCAGGTGTTGTTCTTGCCTGAACTAAATGCACATGGGTTCCTGTGTGTAACCATACACTGATTTATTAATAACTTCCCACTCACTTTTCATTCCAAATGCTCTTTACCATTGTACAAGAGCTACTGAAGCGAGGGAGCCAACGTAATGAAAAAAAATCCAATCAAGGGAAAAGTGCTTTATTAAAAAATGTGATTTACTTACAGTCAAGGAAACACCACTTTGGCGATAACCTCTGCGAGGAGAGAATCTTTGGTTTACCGACCTCCTCCTGGGAGACAGAGAGACAGAACAGTGAGATGCAAGACGGCTGATCAAGCAATGAATATCAACGACCAGACCAACGAGGCCTCTGCCCAGGGGCCTCCGATCATTTGGTTGCACGTGAATGTAAAAGAGAAAGCTGGAGGCTCGCATGCTAACTGGTCTGGTATTTGGTCAGACTCAACCGAACACTCACACTCAAATGCCCCGCTTGTGCAGATTTATTCTGCTTGTGCTCAAACTGTGAGTTTACAGTCAGATATTTTGTTGCTTAGACAGATTTCCTGCACTGAAGCTAATTCAGTCCTTGTCCTTTATTTATCCTTTTCAAATCAATATCATCTTCATCATGTTTTCCTCTGCTCTTGGATTTTTTTGTCTTCAGCGTTTGATTTTTCTTTTTTTGTGCAACAAGTCTGTCAAATTCAGAATGCCAGGTGAAGTGTCGACGATGTCTTGACCTTGTTGTGGATGTGTAAGCTTTACTTCATTGACAGTCCCCTATAGGCAGTTTAACCAGGTTCAAGTACTCCTGTGCAAGGGTGGGGCAACCCTAACCCTATCCCTGAATATCTTTCCAAAAGCAGGGTTTTCATTCTTGTCTCTCTGTCTCTCTACACTTGACTGTTCCCTCTTAGGAGTTTCAGAGTATACGCTCTGCTGCATCCCTGAGTTGAATCAGGTCACTGCCTTGATTTCTTGTATTTGAGCAACTTGCTGTCCTTGCTGGGATCAAGGCCTACAGCAGAAAGATGTCAGTAACATTATACTCCTCCTTTTCTCCATTCATATTCTACCCTACATTAACAAATACCATCCATTTTAATATCTGCTGTAGCTCCACACACACTTGCATAACTCAGTTGCCTAATACCATTAAATTTCAGTGTGTGTGTTTCCAAGAAGTACACACAGTGGAAACCGCTTTTAGTGGCCAGTTTATATGAATTAAAAAGCTTGGTACAGAATGGTTTGAATAAAAATGCTGTTTAAATAATTTGGTTCTAGTGATCAGGGTTTAAATTAAGTTTCTATCAGCTTTGAGCATCGTCTGTGACAGGTGTCCACACTCACTACATCCAGTTGCCTCTTTACTTCAAGTTTTTCTATCTAAGTATCATCCACACTTTTTTTTAATCTTGTCTCCAATTAGTGCCGAACGTTGTAGGAAGACTTTTAACAAGATCAGAAAACCGACAGCCTCCTGCTCCGCTGCCTGTTATGTGTAGACGCCTGTTTAAAATCCCGCTCTTTGTTTACAGAACACTAAATGTTCTCTGCCTGTGAAGTCCTGCCCCCGCAACACACTGTCAGACAACTCAGATCCTTCGACCAAGGACTCGTCTGTCCACAGATCAGAGGCTAAAAGAAGCCAGAGAAAGTTGTGAAATCCTCCTCCATCATTTTCACCTTCTCACTTGACTGATGTGTTCAACTTAAAACACACTTTCGCTCGCCAAATATTGACTTTACATTTCACCTCCAATCTTTTAAACAGTATTGTCTGGATGAACTTTGCTAAGTCCTCTCTAAAACAAACCGTCATTGCATCATATCTACCTATTCCACAAATGTTTGTGATTCTGTAAGTGGAACTCATATCTTGCAAACCACAAGCACAATTCACAGAATCACTAGCTGTTTGGCAATTTGACTTCAAAGTGAAAAATGTTTTTTTGCTGCAATACTTTATACTGTGCGGATTATACAGTTTTTATTTTGAAAAGTTGTGAACTTGGGTCTAAAGATTGTGTCGACTGCTTGACAGACGTCTGAAATAGCCGACATGCAATCATTAAAAATTACAACAGTTCAGCAAATATTCCTACTTATATATACACCCCACACATGAACAGTAATAAAGAAAATTTAGTGAAAAACATTTACTATAAAATCATCATTGCAAATTAACCAGGTAGGATGAATACAAAGTTTTTCTAACTCTGCACCACAGACTGTTTATAAAAAGCTCTGAACACGACATCCAGCACACAAACAATAAAAAGTATATTGCAGACCAGTTTAAGGAGAACCTGCTGATGACAAGGAATAATTCTGAAGTAGCCCTGAAGCATCACCACAGGCCAAACAAACACGTTTAGAATGGGCACTGCACAAGTCCTATCAAATTGTGATAATCTAAGAGGCTATGTAAGTCTAACATACAACGGTGGTGGGGATATGTTGTTGAGATGTTGTAGTCATAGAAACGAAACCAACACGCTCCCCGGCGTCCTGATAATGTTTTTTCGCCTGAGAAACACCGGCTTCCACAGCGACTGAGATAACATCCTGCAAGAGGATATTCAACAAAAAACTGGGCAAATGTAAAAAGCGTCAACACAACACAACCAGGTATTTCAGTTCAGTTGTAAAAATATCTGAATGTAAAAAATCACACTCCAACAGACGTGACGAGGGAAAAGAGCCAAAGAAAGTGAAGTTATTTTCCTTTCAAAGAGCAAAGCTTTCGTGCAGGCTGTGACAGAAAGGCTGGCTGAAGTAAACACCTCTACTCTCGCTCTATGCGTTTGTCTGTATTTATCTAAATCTGCTGTCAGGCTCAGCGGCAGTCTCGAGCCGAGTAAAACGCCCGAGGCTTTTACAGCAAACCTACAAACACCGAATCAAACGCTGCGCTCGTCTGGCTGACTCTTTTCTTCTACACCTCCATTCTTCTTCTGTCTCTTCTCCATTCACTCCTGCTCGTCTCCTCACACATGAAGCTGCTGAGTTCCTCCTCAGCTTTGGTTCGTCCGGATTTGCGCTGTGCGTGGAGTCGGTTGGGTTATTTATCAAAGGGGGCATCAAGCCCGGCGGTAAAGCTGACCTGTCACTCGACACTGACCTGTGTCGGCACTGAGACTTCTTCAACTTCACTTTCGTCTGATAATGGCAAACAAATCCTCGCTGAATCCTCAAAGTCTTATTCTACGAAATAATAATAATAAACTTAACTTATATATCACTTTTCTTGATAATGTTATCGCTTTAGAGAAAATAACACCACTTAGTTAGAGAAGCTGAGCAGAGCTACTAGAACATACTGTATGAATAAATAGGATTAGTCATCGAGATAAAAGGCAATGCTAATTATTTGTAAAAGCTTTCACAAAAAGAAAAGTTTTAAGAATTGATTTATAGGAATGTGGACTTTAGCATGTCTCAGTTCAATGGGTAGGGAGTTTAATAAAGGGGGGGGACTAAAAGCAAAAGATGGGTGACCCATTGTAACGAGGGTGATAGTAACTACCAGGGCTCCATCCGCTGATCCGATTGGTCGAGAGGGAACATAACTGGTCAATGAATCAATTTAAGGGGAACATTTTTAAAATCAATTAAAATTAATTTGAAAGGCTTAAAGGGATAGTTCACCCGAAAATGAAAATTCACTTGTATTTCTACTTAAATCTATAACGTTAGTAAATATTTTTAGAATGAGTTTAGGCGTTCAATCTCATTAATCTCATCTGGTTTTAAAATAATCAAGATGGCGTTGGACAAAAGGGCAAATCCCAGGCTGCACAACAGCAGTTCACACACCACCACACTTTTTCCACTGTCGCCCACTGAATATCCTGCAATGAACAGATACAGCCATCATCAGAAATAAGCTTTTCTTCTCATGCACCAGCGAGCATCATCAGTCACCAGCGAGCACGCGAACAAATGTTGCATAACTTTGGTTGCTATGCAACACAAAGTCTGACAACAACTCATGAGCCGTCTTCTTAGTATCTGTGATCTAACACATACAGTTTTTAAAAGTAGTATATTTGTGTTATAAATAACATTGGTAGAATAAGTGTGACCCATGAATAGCAAGATGAAAAGCTCTCTGGGAGATGAAGGATGTGGGAACATGACATCCACATAAAGAGAAGAGACACAGAGTTTCCTCTCATCCATGGTGTCTGCTTAAATACATGTTGAAGAGTTGCATTCACATTCACTGCGTTTACATGTACTTCTGTAATGGGATTATCTCTGCTTCTCAGCATTGTGCCGATGTGTGAATCATTGAGTAAACCACAAACATGTTTGCCTGGGAATTAAAAGCAAACAACGTTCTGCTGGATTAAGCACAATTACTCTTCACTGGTGTTGTTAATGTGGACAGAACATATCACTGATGCGAAAAACAATAACACTGACGTTTAGCAGACAAATTTCTCCAATTCACTGTGTTCTCTGTCGGAAGGTTTCACCTCTGACCTCTGCACACTATTGGAAATGTAACTACTTCCTAAAGTGATGAAGTGTACTGACATAGCCTGGAGTTCACACACCTACATTATACAACAGGAAGTTAAATTAAATTAATATTCAATACAAGCTTGTTGACTGTAGTGACACGGTTCCACAAATTCAACACAAAGACTTTTCAAGATCTTTTTAAGACCACAATGAATTCAATTTAAAACCTATGTCAGGAACCACAGAGGAAATATCAGTCTCTGAATTAATTAAACCTCCCCATAATTGAAGATAAGGTAAAGTAGCCAAGTAGAGAATAATGGATGATGATATGTCACGTTATCTCTCAAACTACAGGCAGAGACACATTGGTCTTGTTTGTAGTTTTAGTACAGTGTTTTAGTATCTTTATTACTGAGAAAGAACTACAACACAAAGAGTAATTAGAAACTATGCATGCTGCCAAAATGTTTGTCTTAAAAACTCATTATCAAGTACGACAGTACATCTTTTAACATTAATCTGTCACTCGCAATCTGTTTTGTGTGAGAACGACTTTTGTGCCTGCACACGTTACCAACATAAATAGAATTAAGTCTGAGCAAAATGCAACATGTTATGATTTTAATCCTTCATCAAAAAATATATACATATCCAGAAATTATTAAAAAAGTGTGTCATGAAAATGTGTATTCTGAAGTCCATTTTGTCACTGACTTGATTGACCTTGATTGAAATGATAGACTTCCCAGATTGAAAACAACTGGAATCATTTGCGACAGTGTAAGCACCCAGCTTAACAACATTTAA